ATTTTTGTACATTAGTGTACAGTACTGTAGTACATTTTATAAAAAAGTTTTTCAACTGTATTTTTGGGTAGATTTACATAGATTTCTTAGTGCAAAGCTGGAGTGCACATGTACTAATTTGATTACGGTACTAAAATTGTTTTGTCTAGTGCAAATTATAGCATGTTTATATTCAAATTAATCAGTATGTTACAAGAATCCCAGCTATGTTAATTATATTCACCCAGGTCATTTCACTGGCTTTTTATAAGAGAGAAGCTTAGTCACCTAAGAACTGATAAATATACACGCGTTAGACCTGGGCCTGTGCCAACTGTCAAACGTACTACCTCCCCTCCCCCCACGCCCCATCGCTTGCTCCCTCCCTCTCTCTCCCCCATCTGCTTGGCGTTGCTGGAATCCTTGTAAAACAGTGAATAATTTTAATATAAACGTCATGTATTTTGCACAAGAGATAAAAATTAATCACCTGTATCACATTACAGTAGTGATTTAAGAGTAAAAGTGTATATGTACGTATATAGTATTCCACATACACATAAGTATAAATAAAAAGTTTATGTGATGATCGGACAACTTCCATTTCAGTTAACGTCAAGTTTCCAAGAACGTATCTAGGACGTTATCCGGCGCATGACTGTGTGTGTGTGTGTGTGTGTGTATGTATGTATGTATGTATGTATGTATGTATGTATATATATATATATATATATATATATATATATATATATATATATATATATATATATATATATATATATATATATATATATATATATATATACAGTGGGGTATGCTATAACGAACGTAATTGGTTCCAGAACCTCGTTCGTTATAGCATTCGTTCGTTATAGGATTAATCCGTTCCAGGCCCCCAAATACAACCGCTTAACACTGAAAAAATTATGTGGAAAATGTAAAAAATACGGTACTTTATCTTACCTTAGTGTTATTCAGCATGCAGGTACCCCTAAACACTGGCACATCACTATCACTTCCACTGGGAGTCTTGGCTTTAAGGTCCTCAAACAATTGTTTAGCCTTCTCACAAATTATAGCTTCACTAATGTTACCACCTGCCATTTCTTTCTCCTTTATCCACACTAAGAGTAAATTTTCTATCTCTTCAATCACATTACACCTTGCTTTGCTAAGTCTAAAGATTCCCTTAGCCACTTGCACAGTTTTAACTCCTCTTTATTCTTCAAAATCGTACATATAGTCGATTTAGCCATCCCATATTCATCACTAAGTTTCGCAATGCTTCTTCCATTCTCACGTTTCTTTACAATTTCTTTCTTAGTTTCAAGGGTTATTAGCTTTCTCACTCGCTTTGGACGACTCATTGTTACAATTGTATACTTGTATAACAAAATAGTTATACAAATAACGCGAATTTCCACATCAAAAGACGAAATTTCAACAATAACAGTGGTGCACTAGCTACACAATGAGACAAAGATGGCGCCTGACGCTCTTGTTGTGGGTCGCGGTACAACAATATTCATGCGCCAGGTGAAATAGTCCCGTATTCATCCGCGTTCGTTGTAGGAGTTGCGTTCGTTATAGCATTCTCAATTTTATAGGTAAAACCGTTCGTTATAGGAATATTCGTAGTAGGATCTAATTCCCATATATATATATATATATATATATATATATATATATATATATATATATATATATATATATATATATATATATATATATATATATATAACTCAACAATAACCAGCATGTGTATATGTGTGTATGTGTGTGTAACCAGCATGTGTATGTAACAACATGTGTGTAGCAGCAGCATATGTATGCTATGTGCCAGCCTTGCTGCTGCTGCTGCCTTATGCTTATATATATATATATATATATATATATATATATATATATCCTTGTCTATACAGAGTACAACATATATATGAGCAGTAAATAAGTGTTGCTTTCATATTCTTAAGTAGAGTAATGAGGATATGTTTTCACATATGCGCAGTCTCAATTTTTTTTTTACCATTAATGGTTACCTACTTATATTGTTCCATTTATTAACATTAAATAGCATTATAGGTACTTCAAACAACCATATTAATTTTTTTACATTAATTTTACTACAGCTAAAATCAGGGTCTTATTTTCTTCAGTTTTGTATGTAGAACCAATCAGTCACTGGTTTTGTAAGCCTTAACATAAACAATGCCGGCAGCCGTCTCGTCTCCTCTAATATTCCACGTATTATTAATAAATTGTACAGTAGTACCCTCAATTGAACCCACAGGGTACCGTGTTAAGTGAAAAACAGAACATATGGAATTAATTCCAATAGAGACTGGCCGGACCCCCAAACTCTTCTTTTTCCGACACAATACCTATGTTCTAGTAAAAATAACATCTTAATTTTATGATGGTACATGCACACAATTAATACTTAAGAGAAATAGAGAAATATAGTCGCCAAGTTAATGTCCATTCAAATAATGGACTCAACTCCCTCCCCCTCTCACACTACACTGCTGGCTCTTCCCTCTCTGAGAAATTTTTGGGGTAAAACCACTAAATTTTAATAAATAATACCTCAAACTAAAGTTAGGATAATATAATTGACATTGCTGGATTCCTTGTAAGACCAGGAATATTTTGAATATAAATGTCATATATTTTAGTACACAAAAAGATAACATATTTACTCAGAGTAAACATTATATCTAAAATTTGTATGTCTAATGCAAAATCTATGATGTTTATATTCAAAATGATCATCAAATTGTAAGAATTCCAGCAATGTAAATTATATTCTGACCGGGTAATTTGTATGAATTTTATGAGCTAAAACAGGCAGGCAGGGGTGGCGGGTGGGGCGAATCTAAAAATAGCGTCTCGAGCCAGAGCCAGACACACTGCACGTATACATGGAAAAAACCCCGAAGAAACCTGTTCGGCTCTGGCGAGGCACCGCGTATACGTGAATTCGCACGCTAAGCGAAACCGCGTTAAGCGGGGTATTACTGTATTGTTAATTTTGCACACACAAACATTAATTCAATAAAAACAAATCCAGAAACATTAATTAAAATATATATGAACAGTAAATAAGTGTTGCTTTCATATTCTTATGTAAAGAAATGACGATATGTTTTCACGTGTGCACATGCGCACTTACATACGCGATCTCTCTTTTTTCTTTACCATTATTGTTAGCTACTTCTATTGTTCCATTTATTAACATTAAATAACATAACTTAAAACAACCATATTAATTTTACTACAGCTACAACCAAGGTCTTATTTTCCTCAGTTTTATATGTAGAACCAGTCAGTCACTGGTTTTGTAATCAACGAAAACAATGCTGTGTCATTTCCTCGTGTGTTTTAATATTCTACGTATTATTAATGAATTGTATTGCTCATTTTGCACACATAAACATGAATTCAATAAAAAAAGACATTCAGTAATAAACAATAATGAATCTTTTGTACATAAGAGAAATGACGCTGTTTACACGATTATGCACGTCGTCTGCACGTTGGCGGGCCGTTCAAACCCGTCGAAATTCAAGTTTCCGCCGTCAAAATTTTTATTTATTTTTTTTTGTGTGTGTTCCAATAAAATACGTTGAATTAAAAACTCGCGAAATTTGAGAAGCTACTATATGACATTTAACCCTTCAATATGTCTTCAAAGAGACCATGATGCAGAGAAAGTGGTGCTAGTGCTTCCAAGCATAGGCACAAGTCACTATCTATCCAGGAAAAGGGTGAATTTCCATGGTCCGGTAATTTCCATGGTCCGGCACCGGTCAGGTCCTGAGGTTGCCGGACTAGAGAGGTACAACCTGTATTGTAATTAAACAAAATAATGTACAGTATACAGTACAACTACTATACTGTATACAGGGTATACTATACTCACCAGCAGATACCGTCATGTTGAGCCTACAGTAGGCATACACTTGTTCACTCTACTGAATGTTATACTGTATGTATTTGTAATCACTTTTTAGTTTTAACATTTGCGATGGAGGTGTGGTAGGAGATTATTGGGTCTCATATTACTGACCTTCTGATGCAATGTTATGTCTCCCATTGTCGGGGTGGGGGATTAGTGGGTTCTCATGACCTGAAGAATGATGTTTTGAATTAAGACAATAGCTAAGGTGCTCCAGTGTTTCCATTTTCCTGTACTTATGTGACTTTCACACTTACTGAATGTTCAGAACAGTATACGTAACTGTATAATTTTTTTTTTGTCTTAACACTGTATTCTTAGCTTGTACAATGGCAGAGGACTATGAACTAGGTGCATCATGATGCTAGGTTTAGAGGGGATAAGCTGGGAGATGCATCAGTCTATCACAGGCATCACTTGCAATCACATGATAGCATTAAGTAATTGCAGCCTGCAAGCCTAAGCTCAAGTTACCCAAGCGATCTTCCCACCCATGCACCAAGCACGTGAGGACGCAGCTATGCATGATGCACTCTTTCATCACTCCCAGTACCATTGTCCCCAGGTCCCGGAGCAGAAAAGGTTTGGAGAGATTTTCAAGGATTTTTTCAGGAAATTGTACATTTTTTCATCCCAGACCCGGAAAAAAAAAATGGAGTAATTTTCTAGAAAATGCAGCTGATTTTTAACCTTGGAAACTCATTCACAGACCCGGAATTGAGGAAACATTTTCAGGAAAAATTCCGGAAGTTAACTTCTGCTGGTTAACTTTGGAAGGCCTTGTTTGAATTTAATTTTAATATGAAATTGTGTTATGAAAAGTATTTTTTGGGGGTGGCTTTAAATTTATCGCCATTTGCATTTGAGGAAAGAACCATTTCCAAAGTTATGATTTTTTCATGCAAGGGTGTAGGTTAGTAATTATTAGATAAATAATGGAGTAATCCTTTCATCTAACAGCCTTATCTTTAGCTCTCATGGGTATTTCATGCTCCATGATTCATTGCTCAAGGAAAAGTGAATTATTTAATGCAGAGTTAATGAATTGTAATCTTGTTTACAGACAGAAGCAGCTGACATACGGTCACCCCATTCGCACCACTGTGACTCCTGCATAGAGCACCCCTGCCCTCAGGTGGATTCTTCACACACAAGTGAGACAGCAGCTGAACTCCAGAAAAGGTCTCAAATATCAAAACAGTGTTCTTGTACTTTGAGAAAGAGTCATTCTATGAAGGAATTAATGGCGTTTGGAATTTCCAGAGTGACTAATGACGTGGATAGCAAATTTTGTGATTCAAATAAAATCTGTGAAGTTTCTGATTTGAGACCACGAAAGCTTGGAAGGCAGCAAAGTCAATACAATTTTATTTATAACACTTACCATCTGTCTGCAACAAAAGATGAATATTTTTTTTAAAAGCCTTAATCATTTTAAGTTGTATTTGTTTTGTGTATAAGAAAAGTTGTTCTCCAGGAGGTTTCTGTAAATATATAGGCTTATTTTTGGAAATTGATGGATTATTCATTATCTTTTTAAGATGTGAGTGATGGAAGTATGCATCTTTGGACATGAACATTGCTGTTGCACATCTTAGATCTGCTTTTACTTCTACAATAAATTGCTTGTAGTATATTGGGTGCTCCAGTTTTAATGCCAACCTTGAAAAATAACAGCTATCAGATTCTAACTTTCACTATTAATATGTATAAATGATAATGAATAATGAAGGTGGACACCAGGCAGGAGGTGTTCACCAACAAGATATAATGAAAGCGAACACCAGGCAGAAGATTTTCACCAACAAGTGGTAATGAAGATGTACACCAGGCAGGAGATGTTCACCGAACAGCAGCAGCACATTGTTAGTGATGTATTTCACTCATTGTTGTCACACATTGTGATGATACAAGTGCCCCCACTTCTTCCACACACAAAAAATAAGTAGTTACAGTGTGATGGAAAAGACATTTAGATATGCCATCTTTTATTTATCACCCTCCATAATATTTGGAAGTGGTATACAGCATCTTGTAAGATTATGTACCATATGAATTGTGCTTTACATTCACCTTTTTTATGTATGCCATTGATGTAAGTAAAAGAACATTTTCTGCAAGCTATGACTGAATGATAGTGCCAGTCATTCTAGAGATATTCACTGGAAGTTGCTCCTGTATACGAAGACCATCTAGAATACACGTACCCGCAAATTTGATTTTCAGTATATATATTTTTTTTTATTGTCAGCAAGTATTTTATTTTTTCCAACAGCACAAATATATATATATATATATATATATATATATATATATATATATATATATATATATATATATATATAACCAAGGAACTGTTAAGATAATTATATTAATGGAGGTAATGATAGAAATTATCAGGTAAAATTATATCAGGAATTATATTTCAAAAACATTATCAATGCCCCATCTTCCATTTTGAACTGTCAAATTCAACTACTGTATGTAAATATTATGCTCATTCTTTTCCTAGACCCATCACAGTTATACCATCTGTCATTTTACCATAACTTCATGCTTGACTGAAGCTTCAGAAGTTAACTATACAATGTTGTAAGTATAAACATAAATTGCATGGTTGAAATCTGTAAATTAAGATTGGTCATATTTCTCCAGCAAATGATTCATAATTGCAAAAATCTAACATGAAATTGACAAGTTAGATGTAAAGCCATATGACTGTGCACATTTTAAAGTTTGAGGGTTCAAACCTATAGTCATGATCAGTCTGGGCATATTGTCTCGACTTAGTGGAAATGTCAGCTTTAATCATGATTGTTATGATTTCTAAACCAACCTAGTTTCTGTTCAAATGCTTTGATATGGCAGAATCATAATTTGATTTTATCATTTGTTCCATACATATTCATTATAAAAAATGTATCATAAATTAAATCTTAGTGCAGTGTATTGGATATTATTTTCAGTCATAATACATGTACTGTACTGAAATTTGATGGTATTAGACAGTATGAAATTACCTTAAAACTTTGATATTGAAAGCTGGATATGTACATTTATATGCAAATTTTGCATTAAGATTGGTTTCTATTCTCATTAAAATTTGGCAAAAATTCCAGGTTGTTTAAATTTATGAATATATTCCAATGTAATTTTTGAGACTGAATATTTTTTGGAATACTGGATTACAAATAATATACACCGAACCCTCATTATTTTGATATTGCCAGGGCTCTGAGTCAAACGAATTAGCCTGGAATATTGAAGTATCCCATACAGTAGACCCTTCCAATTCGCGGGTTTGCGATTCGCGATTTCTACAATTTGCGGTAAGCATATGGTGACCAGCTTGCAAGCTTTTTCCCGGAGCACAACAAGTCATCCTACGCAGCATCTTGTGTGGGTACTCTGAAAATTTTAGCGTTTCTGTGTGAAATGGCCCCTAAAAGACTGCCTAGTGTCATTTCTAGTGATGCTAGTGGAGTGAAATGTAAAAGGCAAGCCAGTAATGACCCTGACAAAGAAAGTTTAATTATTAGATAAGCTAAAAGTGGGGATGAGTGATGCCGTGGCTGGTCAGTTGTTTGGTATATGTATTAAGTAGTACACTAAGGTAGTATAATTTGCTATTCGCGCCATTCCTTGGAACCCATCCCTCGCAAATAACAAGGGTTACTATATTGAAATTATCTCGCAAAAGAAAAAGAGAATTCCAGAAAACACATTTAAAGCAGCAATTTTAAATAAATAAGTATGAAAGAATAATAAACACACTACTACTACAGTTGAACGTTCCAAGAGAGGTCGCTTTAAACCAAATTTGCACAAAATCGAAGTGTTGTTTCAATGAAATAATTTAGTTTGGTACTTGAGAGAAACACAAAATACTAAAAAGACTGACAGTCTACCCAGATGCACCTCAGCCCATCTCCCAGATTAAACAAAACATTGTTTTTTTTTAGTATTATGTTAAAACAAACACTCATAAATCAACACAGCTAAAATTATGGGACGTGAAATGGTCTGTTTACTAGCGATCAGCTGGTGGGGGGGGGGGAAAGGTGAGGTGATATGTTTGACAGTTGATGCCAAGGTCTAGTGCTTATGTATTTATCTGTCCTTAAGAGTGACTAAGTTTTTCTCTTATAAAATGTCACTGAACTGACATGTTCAAATTAATTTTATTACAAAGGGCTTAAAAATTTTATCTCGTGCAAAATAAAAGACGTTTATATTCAAATTATTCACTGTCTTGCAAGGATTCTAGCAATGCAAATTATATTCTCTTAACTTTAGTCTGTGAGATCATATAAAAAACAACTTAAAGCCTACTTATATAACCCTTAGTGCACCCAAGGGGTGGGCCCATGAGGCGCCCCCTTAATCCCAAGGCTCCTTAACCGTCTGTGGTCAGATGCTGAAATCCTACATGTCATCCCCTGGTCAGGCAAAAGTGAATTTTTTTCTGCCTAATAGGTCCCATTTGGTCTGAAAATAAAGGAAATAAACCTCAATTTGCTCGTAATTGCCAATTTAAAGCTCCCGCGCGCGCCCAAGTTGCCAAGGCAGGCCTCTGAGATGACGTCACGCGGATTACCTTACCACAGTGGTGCCGCTGTTACATGTTTTTTCGTTATAGCATTAAAACCCTTTACTTATCAATATCTAAACGTGGCCAATTGTAATCAGTTTATCATCTAAGGAAATAATTTTTTTTTAATCTAAAATAATCAAATATATTTTGACCAAAATTATTTAAAACTCCGATTATTTGCCAAATTTTTTGCTGGCTTTTATACTGTAAAAAACAATTTATTAGGTCTCGGCTTTCACCAAATTCCTTAAAAAATCCCACTAACTCGGTCTTCGGCCACCCAATTTTGCTTCCTCCTTGACGAATTTCTGGGTATGTCCATGGCCTCCAGGCCCCTCCCCCTCTCCTTACAGAATTTCTGGGTGTGCTACTGTATATAACCACCAAACCCTGGCTGGGAGGGAGGGAGGGAGGTAGGAAGGGGAGGTGACAGTGACACTTTTGACAGTTGGGGCCGAAGGTCGAGTGAAATATTTATTTGTTTATTTATGTCCTTTAGATTGAGTTTTTGTTTTTTGTTTATAAAATTTTCTCGGAAGTGACCAGGGAGAATATAATTTACATTGCTGGAATTCTTATAAGATAGTGATTAATTTGAATATAATCATGCTATAGTTTGCACTTGACAAAAATTTTAGTAATCATTTAGTACATTATTTTGAGTACATGTACAGTACAGCTTTGCCCTTAGGACAGTGTAACATGCCCAGAAGAACATTAGGCGCGAATTTTAGAATATGATGCGCCAGATTGACTCGCGCAAAATAGGAAAGATTCGCTTTAAAGTAAAACATTGTCCTTAATTGTGGGTGTCACTTTAAATCAATAATCTTAAATTGAATCGCTTTAAATCTACGTTCTACTGTGCTACTTTTTTTTTTTATAAAATGACCTCCAGCCTTCTCTAATAGCCACACCTTCGCCGCCATTTTATTACCTTAAAATTAAATATCATAATACAAAAGTAACTACCCTAGCTATGTTGAGTTAGTTGAGCAACAGATCTATGCGTCATTCAGTAACTGTTGCTCATAGTTGATATCTGCGACCGTTGTCGTCTTTGGGGGCGAAGATCTCATTCCCCTGAGGCAAAGCACTACAGGCCTAAGGAGAGAGAAGGACAGTCAACATCTCAACCAGGCTGTAACGTAACTTTTGGGCTGCTGCTCCTGTTCAGATATCACCTCCGCGAGTCTGGCATAGGAGACATCTTGAACTTGGTCCCATCCCACCAGAGGTTGTGAACACCAGAGGAGTGAAGCTGCTCTGATCAACATTCAGAATTCTCTCCCCATATGCCCTGATCTTGTCATTCTCGTTCCTCCTGTGTCCAGTATCGAGAACTAGGTTATGGTGATGTGCGGCCATGGGATAAAAAATCCTTATGTCAAAGAAGACTCGCCATCCCCACGTCCAGAATCCTTGAGCACTGACGTCCACACAGGCTTCGTTGGATGTGTTTGAAGTCCTGTGATGGAAATTTTCACCATCTAATGAAAGGAGGGTCGGTTGTAGCCTGACATCATGACAGATTTCCTTCAACTTATTTGCTGTGGGATCCCTTACTTTGCCGTGCCTTATGCATATGAAGCCCCCTTTCTTGCACGCCATGGTGTGGTCAATATCATATGATTAACCACACATACATTCGGAGGTGCAAAACTTCTACTGGCCTACTGTACCTTAGACCAATGGCATTTGTAAATTCTTGTTTATTAAGACTGAAAACCTTTTGCCCTTATCCGAAATGTTGTTAACCCACCTCCTGCGCTATAGCTACTTTTTTTTTCAAGTTTTTTGACACTTGCAGCATCAGTTGCTGCAGTTTATCACTTTGGGTGCGCTGTCGTTCTGTAGTAATGGACTGTCGAATCTTGTTTAATTCGCTGGTATCCACCTCACTTGATGCATTCTCAGCTATTATGTGCTGAGTGAGGGCTGCCGTGAGCTTGACTGAGTTCTGATGTTCGGTGGCAGTAAGCTCTTCTGGATTGGTCAATCCCATTCCCCCCAGTTTCTGTGGTAGTGACCTTTTTGCTGGAACTAAGTGAAGGTGCTTCACTAATTTTGGAATAAAATTGAGGCTGATGGCTTCTTCCAGAGGGTGGAAGAGGGGTCCAATATCAGGGATAGTGCGCATCAGGTAATTCCAGCGATGCTTGACTCCATGGGTGAGTCCCGCAAAAGCCGCATGTGGCTCTGTTTTAGCAATTTCAGACAGAGCTTGGATTTCCTTCACCAACTCATTTACCTTTCCCGTTACGTACTGTCTTGAAGTTCTTTGTGCCGATTACCGCACCTATGTGTCTTTGGCCCTCCTTTGTTATTTTGACTTCACTTCCACCGAATACCTCCACTGCCATTTCATAGTGTTCTGGCTTCTCAATGAGGAAGGACTTGCTGGCATTTGGGTGGTACCCTATTTGTGGACCATGTGATGTTATCAGGTCCCAACACTTTTTAATATCCCACTTTTCCTGCTCCTGTTAGGTCGTCAGCGAAAGCTGCTTGCCTGACAGCGGTTATTTCAAATTTTATTATGTGTTGGAGTTGGAGCACGGATAGGCCTAGTGCGTATATTGCCATGGCGCCACGGTCCCCCTGCATTGTTCCGTCATTTGACTGTATGATGGTATCTCCTTTTAAAGCCTTGATATTTGTTATATAGAGGTCTGATGGGTTCCTATAAGTGTTTTCAACATACATTGCAAAGCTTGGACACTTGATCTTGATGTTGTGCAGTGTAGCTTTGCAGTTGATTATGTTGAATGTGGTGGAAACGTCAACAAGGAGTACTGCCTCACAATCACCCTGCCTAAATATCTTTCTCATGGCATGAATGGCAGCTTCCCCTCCAGCCTGGGGGCCAGCAAATACTTGCAGGTTACCTGCAGCTGCTGTGACATCATCATTTACCACCACCATTATGCATTTTCCAATGATCCACCTCAGAACTTCGCCCCCACTGTTATAGGCCTACATCCCAGATTTTTATCCAGGGGAATGAGGCGGCAGGCCATTAGAGCATGAAGGTGATGGCAGCGCGAGGTTGCTAGCTTTCTCGCAAGGGTGGCGGTGGCATTGCAGAGATCACTTGCTACGGCGCCGAACTTGTTAGTGCTGAGGATGACTCTCCAACCGTCTACATCCAGGCCTGAAGGGCTTGCTCCTCCCAGTGTCTTCAGTGCTTTTTTCTACAAAATCCCTCCTGTTATTTGTTTGAACATGACAGTGTTTGGAGAGATATAGGCACCCTGGATCCTGATGCCTTCCTCTTCACTTGCAGGGGGATGTTTTTCCTTCAGTTGTTGTAATGTCTCTCTGTTTATTGGCAGAACACCACCGGAAGAGGCCTCTGTGAGAGATCTTACTGCCAAAGACACTTTTCCCACCCTCATCATGTTTCCAAACTTTCTGGCAACATCCTCGGTGTTTTTTCCATTTCCCATAAATTTTAGTCTCTTCTGCAGTGTTCTTGCTTCATATAGGAGATCATCAAGGGCCCCTTTCTGCCACATTGT